CACGTGTTTGTTTATTGTGGTTAACCACTCGCGTATGCATACAGCCCCAAGTGTTTGTATATTGTGGTTAGTCATTCGCGTGTACATACAGCCCACGTGTTTGTTTATTGTGGTTAACTACTCGCGTGTACATACAGCCCACGTGTTTGTTTATTGTGGTTAGCCTCGCGCATGTGCATACAGCCCACGTGTTTTTTATTGTGGTTAGCCTCGCGCGTGTGCATACAGCCCACGTATTTGTATATTGTGGTTAGCCACTCGCGTGTGCATACAGCCCACGTGATTGTATATTGTGGTTAGCCATGCTTCGGTGAGATGCTGTGCGACGTATGCTGAGGTTGGGTTATCTTGGATGACAACTTACTATGCGTCTGAAGCGCGTGTGGTGTGTGTTTGTGTGTGTGTGTGTGTGTGAGTATGCTGTGGAAATTTATTTGTCTTCAATATCAATTTGTACTCGTGAGAGTCCCAGAGTATTAGTGTCGTTTCCTTCTATACGACTCAGCACGGCCTAGGTGTTTCTCGAGCATCGCATATATGATCATCTTTGCACGCGGGGGGCGTACATGAATACGTTTGTGTATGTACCTACATGGCGTCCGCGTACTCACTACAACCCACTCTCGTATGTATGTTGCAGGTGATCCTAAGGGAGGAACGGTTAGCAGAGGATATCGACCAATCTCGAATAGTCAAGGCCACCCCAGGATACACCGGAAGCGATCTGAAGAATCTGTGTCTAGGTATGGCTGTTGCGACACACCGCCACTTTCGCAGGCAGTAGCATGGATGTATGAGAATGAGAAGTGGCGGGTTTATCGGCTCATATATATAGACATGAATTATTTTCGGCTTGTTCAACAAAATTTATATGAACCGGCTGAACCTTTACAGTTGTACGTATGATTTTGTATAGTATCGTTAGCCATTATAGTTGTACGAACGATTGTGTATATATTTATTCGATTCAAAACATTTAATATATATTACCTGATAGCCATTTTCGATCATATTATTGATAGGTCCAATCAGTTCTGATTGACTTTGGTCATGTTCGCGGCTGCTGAGTGTAGAAAGCTACTGTTGTCTTTCCCTGTATACACGTGCGCCAATGTAGTACATGCTTGTTCAAATGTCGCCAATGTACTATGTTTTATGTGTTTCGACTGGCGAGCTTCCCATAGCGCTAAACTGATCACACCACACTCTGCACACACCACACCCACACACAGCCGCCGCCATGAGATCAGTGAGAGAGATTGTCGAGGAGCAGGAGAGATCGGGCATCCAAATACACGAGCAGGTGCGTATTGGATTACGTGAGTTGTCATTTTAGCATGGTTTTTTTATATTCATATATATATATATGTGTGTGTGTGTGTGTGTGTGTGTGTGTGTGGTATGTGTACAGGACTATTCTATTGCGACTATGCACATATGCGTTATTTACCTATGCTCACACATAAACTCTTCACATCCACGTACAGCCTGAAATTCACTGGCGACATTTCGAAGCCGCCATGGAAGACGTAAAGAAGAGCGTCGATTCAGATTTGGAATCTATCACCAAAATTCAGGATTGGGATAGTAAATGGGGCGAGGGTGGCAACAAAAAAGCTCTCAAGCCGAAGATCGGGTTTGCTGCAGCGGCGAAGGTGGCTGTATAGATTCTGACGTTGGTATATTTGTACTTATACCTACCTATAAATACTCATACCCGCTTACCTATAAATAGCACACATAAACATTAGTAGCGCCCTAATAAATCCAGTATCTATAGCGCTACGATTGAGTTACCCTTCGAGCGTGTGCGTCTGTATTTCGGTTGGAATGAGTTACAGTGTATCAGCCGCAGAGGGCGCGGACGGACGAACAAGTGACTATACTATATATATATATAAATATATATATATATTATATGTATGTATGTATGTATGTACATATATATGTATGAATGCTTATTTATATATATGTATGTAAGTATGTATGTATTTAAATATATATAAATGCATATATATATATATGTGTGTGTGTGTGTGTATATATATATATATATATATATATATAGCCGCAGAGAGTGCGCGGGCAAACATACAAGTGAGAATACATAGGACGGATCGCACCGTTCTTGAGTATCGGAAAGCAACATAATAAAAAGCAACATAAACACGTGGATGTGTGCGTGTCATTCGCACTCCATCCACTGTTTGTGTAGCCGATGTCCTGAATTCTCTTACAAATGGTTTGTGCAGTACAAGGTGTGGCTGTGTTGTAGCCCGGAGGCGTGCTGAATGTCTTTCTCGAAAGTGAGCTATGGTTGGCCTGTCTATTTCTACTACATATTGTTTAGCGAGACAAGCATCTTTGCTTTGATTTATAACCTAATACATCTACCTTCATGTATTGTTCAAGTGTCTGTTTCTACTTAGCAAGACAAGCATCTTTGCTTTGGTTTATAACCTAATACATCTACCTTCATGTATTGTTCAAGTGTCTGTTTCTACTACATATTGTTTAGCAAGACAGGCATTCTTGCTTTGGTTTATAACTTAATACATCTACCTTCATGCATTGTTCAAGTGTCTATTTCTACTAAATATTGTTTAGCAAGACAAGCATCCTTGCTTTGGTTTATAACGCAATACATCTACCTTTATGTATTGTTCAATTGTCTATTTCTACTTCATATTGTTTAGAAAGACAAGCTTACTTGCTTTGATTTATAACCTAATACATCAACCTTTTTTTAAGGGTTTTTATTCAGTTCACACTCTGCGATCTATCTGCTGCACGCGATGATATAGCACGACATCTGATTGGTAAACTACTTTCTTGATATAGTAGCATCGATTTTTGCCACACTATAAAACTTCGAACAAAGAGAATAAATGCCATAGACTTAGTCAGCCTTTGTGTTTCTTTCTTCTAATAAAAGTATTATGCATATGTAATCTGTTATGGTTTTATCACTCACCCTGGTTTATTTCTAGGGTAGAAATTTAGTAGCGCCAGTCTTTTCTGGAAGAAGTAAACACGTAACTCAAGACGGATTGAAATTGAAATATATATCCGTGCTCACTTCGTCAACATAGCTTAAAGCCTCTATTGTCACAAGAGTGAGTGACTAGATGTAGTCGGGGGGGGGGGGTACTCCGGAGATGTAAACAGTAACAAACATTGCAACTCTAAAGACACGGTAACAAACACTACAACTTTAAAGACAGGGAAGCATGCATATCAGGCGATATAAACACCGTAACAAACACCACATCTCTAGAAAGTGTAGCAGTCCATAGACAGGAAAAATGCATATCAAGCTGGGCTTGGGTTGAGACAACCCCTCGCCTGAACAATGTGGCCATTACTCTACGTCCGAACCTATTTACCCCACGCGCTCTATACGTACGTAAACGGAATAGGAAACGTCTACCATGGGTATATATACATAT